TGATGAAGCGGAAGCGAGGAGGAGGGAAGAAGCAGGCATCAGGGGAAGCCGAGAGCGAGGGCAAGGTAGAGAAACTGAAAGCGAAAGGACCGCAGGATGCGGAAGGGATGAGAAGAAGGACGACACGGAGCGGAAAGCCGAGCCGATGGAGAGAACGCGGCAAGGAGAGGAGAGGAAGGGAGGGAGGGGAGAGAAGCCGGAAGCGACAGAGGACTCCCTATCACGGGATGGCGATGGAGAGGGGAAGGAGATGGAGGGAAGGACGAGGACGAGGAGGGAAAGGAGGGGGGGAGAGAGGAGGGAAAAAGAGAGTGAGAGGAGGGGAAGGGAGAGGAGAGCAGGGGGAGGGAGAGGAAGGGAAGGAAGAGGAGGGAATGAGAGGAGCGAAGGAGAGGAGGGAGGACGGGAGGAGAGAAGAGAAGGAGGAGAAGGGACAGGAGGAGAAGGGAAGGAGAGGAGGGCAGGAAGAAAAGGCAGGAAGAGGAGGGCAGGAGAGCGAGGGAGGGGGGGAGGGATAGGGAGAGAGAGAGAGAAGGGAAGGAGAGGAGAGCGTGGCGAGAAAGGCAGGAAGAGGAGGGCCCCACCCCCTGAGAGGAGGGAAGGAGAGAAAGGCAGGATGAGGAAGGGAAGAGAGAGGATGGAAGGAGGGAGGGATGGGAGCCATGGAGGGAGAAACGGGAAGGAGAAGAAGGAAGGAGAAGAGGAAGGGAAGGAGAGCGAGTGGGAAAGGAGAGGAAAGGAAGGAGAGAAGGGAAGGCGCGAGGCGGGAAGGAGAGGACGGGGAAGGAAGGGGGACGAGGAGGGCAGGAGATGGAAGGCAGGAATGAGAGAGGAGGGAGGAGACGAAGAGAGCAAGGGAAGAGAGGAGGGAAGGAGAGCAAGGAGGAGGGCAGGAGAGGATGGAGAGAGGGAAGGAGTGAGAGGGGGAAAAGGGGAGAGAAGGGCAGGAGAGGAGGGAAGGAGAGAAGGGCCAGGAGCGTGAGGAGAGGAGGGCAGGAAGGAGGGACAGGGAGAGAAGGGAAGGAGAGAAGCGGCAGGAGAGGAGCAGGAGAGGAGGGCAGGCGGGGAGGAAGGGCCAGGGGAGGAGAGGAGGGCCAGGAGAGGAGGCTGGAGAGGAGGCGGGCTGGGAGAGAGGGCAGGAGGAGGAAGCCGGAGGGAGGGCAGGGCAGGAGAGAAGGGCCAGGAGAGGAGGGCCGGAGGCAGGAGAGGAGGGCAGGGAGTGAGGGCAGGAGGGCTGGGAGGCGGGCAGGATGAGGCAGGGCAGGGGACCGAGAAGGGCAGGAGCAGGGCAGGAGAGAAGGGCAGGAGAGGAGGGCAGGAGAGGAGGGCAGGAGGAAGAAAGAAGAAAGATACAAATGTTTGCCAGAAATGGTCCCTAATTGGTGAGCCGTGTTATCTTCTGTGCAGGGATTGTTTAATGTCTCGGCCCACGCCGCATATGAGAACGAGCTTGCTGAGAATCAGCAGCTTCCAATTAGGGTGGGTTGGAAGTAATGTGTCTGAATTCTCTCTGTGCAGCTGCTTGATTATATGTTTTTTTGGCCTGCAAATGAAATGCAGTGAGGTGTCTTCACTGACGCAGAGTCTGGTAATTTGCAACCGGCTGTGCCTCTCTCTCAGCTGTCAGGTAAATGCCACAGAAATGATTGAGTCTTCAAGTATCTTCAATAGACAACATCTTGCAAAACAACAATTACATCTAAAACACCCATATCATTAGGTCCAGTAAACCAAACCAATCTTGTTCTATCTTGAACAGGGTATAGGCTACTGTATTGTCAATTGACAGTTTTCTATTCTGAAGCAGTGTGTATTATTATTTGTTAGGATCAGCTTTCCTTTGCAGATGGTCCCCCAGTGGTGGACTTGCTATAGAGTGAAGGATTTCAGGGAAAGAAAAAGCCACAGTGGATCACAATCCTTCTCCCCTTGAGTCCCTTGGATGAGTCATCTGTGTGCGCAGTGCGGGGGGGGGCTGAGGTGAGGAGGAACGTGCTCTGGGGCAAAAATACAAACAGCTGGTTCTCACTATTGTAGAGCAACACCATCGCTCCCATCATGGGCCGTTGTCATGACAGTTACACACGCATGTGGCAGAATGCTCTTTGTAATAGGTCAGATGTTAAAGCCCAAACCCCACGCATTACATTTGCATTGTGGTGACAGTTTAATAACGCTCCTGTCACGGGCTTGTGGAAATGAATGGAGAGGAATCAGTGGAATAGTATCAAATACATTAAACACATGGTTTCCAAGTGTTTGATGCCATTCCATTTGCTCCGTTCCAGCCATTATTGAGCCGTTCTCCCCTCAGCAGCCTCCACTGGCTCCTGTGGCTTTGTTTCCAATACTCTCAACGCCCACCCATGTCTCTGAGATGTGAGCGCGGAAGAGAAGGAAAAAAACAGCCTAATTGTCACACTCCCTTGATAACACAAAGCATTTGTTAGTATAGTGATTCACAGAGATGAGAGTAAAGAAAGTATCAGATTCAATTAAGGTAAAGATGTACGTGATCTTGAAATAAATCAATTTAGCTCCTTATAACCAGCTTACAATATCCTTGCAAGAGCTTTTACCTGGCTTGATGGTAATACAGTACAGATTTAAACAATGATTTAATAATAATGGATAAATCATGGACAATAAACCTACATTACAACTCTTTAATTATACAAGCACTCTAAACCAGTACAATATTTACAACCAGAAGTTCTGACATTCTAAGCCACAAAAAATTATAACAATTAGGCTAATCACAAACAACTCCCATAGCCATTAGGATCATAAATGTGAAAATACATTTTCAGTTTTCCACCCAGATAATGTGCTACTACGAGACAGCTTGGCTTAAACCATTGTAGAGAATTCAACATAAATATACAGAGCATTGTGAATGAGCTGTTACATTGAGCAGACTGTGCTCATTGATAGATGTCAGGTTATAGAGTGTTATGTAATAGAATCATCAGCAGACAGTTGATTTCAAGACATATTATCTAATTCAAAAGGGGAGAAATTCTGATCTCCATTATGCTTGGAAAGTTGTCCTTGATACTCTGATATATTTGTCATTGCCACATTCACAGTACATGGTTTTCACTATCACACATTTACCTCTACTGTCACAAAAAATGACAAGTATCGCAAATTAGCAACAACAGCAATTCCCTTCGGACCAATCAGCATAATAGAAAGTAAGGGGAACAAAAAAAGCAAAACATGGCATTTTAAACTGAAATGGAAACAAGGTTACCATTTTGAAAGAAGAAGGCATTCCAGCAATCAGGCACAGCTACTGACAGGGTCGCTACCACAGTAAAGCAGCTAGTCCAGAGGGGAGATACCAAGGGGCCAAATGACTGAGAGAGGGGGATCTTTTTTAGCTCCTTTTTTCACCTGGCATGGAAGCCAAGCAAGCAGTGGCCTTTAACAAGGTTAAGCAGTGTCATTGTTAGCCGTGACCATGTAAAATGTCACCAAAAGAGTGAAGTTTGCTAGTCATAGCAGTCTACAATGCCCAGGGAAATGAAGTGTCAAGCTCTAATGCATTGGAGAGGGATAATTGCACAGTCATAGCAACACATAATACTGTCTAATTACTTTAATTGGACAGAGACCATTTGAATAAGATAATTGCCATTAACCTGGTGCTCAACGACTCTCCTGCTGCAGAGCTTTTAAACGTAGTCACTCACCGTGTCAAATCACAATACAAGTTTTACAGACAGTTTTCCATAGATTATCTGTACATCCGCAAATATACACCAACCATCTAAGGGTTGCCAGATAGTCATTTCCAGGACCTGACCCACATTTGCTAGAGATAAAAATAATGTATCAGACTGGAAACGTTCTGTTGTAATTTTCACTCTGTCCAAAGGATAGTACCACTGTTCGTTACTTGAAACATGGTTACAGACCAGAATACTTATTTTGACCATTGTGATGAGGAAGATATGTGTTGATGTATGGACTGGGCTGAGTCAAGTAGGCTATATACTTTATCAGGAAATTATCAGCCTGTTATATTAAATTAAGTGCCATTTGATATAGACCAGATGGAGAATTCAAAAATGAAGATTTCTTAAATAAAGACTTACTAAAGTGCAAAAAATCTGCATTTTGACATGTCCCTACCTGCACCCTCTGTGACTTCTAGGAAGATTTTCAACCCTTACATTTCACCATCATTGTAAAGCCCTAGTTATTTTGTTGCTTTGACAAAGTCATTTCTGAAGATTATTATTTATTTCATGTGATTAGTGAATAATTTACATCTGTCCCTCATTTTAAGGTCAACCCTGTTACGTGAACTGAACTCTGGTTTTAATATGGTGAAACTATTCCTTTTTAAATATTATTTTTTTCAAAAGAAACATTCAATTCATATTCAAATCATAGTGTAAAAGTAGGTGAGCTGGTTCTACTCTTTTTGGCAATTTCCTGGTGTTCTGTGGTGGGAAACTGAGAAGGTCAAGCATAACAGGTTAACCTTGTTACCCATAGATAGACAGGCTAGATATTGTTGAATATATATATTTTTATTGTGAAGCTTGAATTAAATTGCCACTCCCTGTTGCACACAACAAACTTCTATTCCCTGTGACAAGCGGATTTGTGGGTGATTTAAGATTAAATCGTCAACCCTGTTGCGGTCAACCCTGTTACTTTATTTGGAACTTGATAGGCACTTACTATAGTAATTTTTGTATTTAACCTCTTGAGATGGGAAAACTTGTTTTTTTTATTAAGTTGAACATGTGTTCTTTATGACAGAATTTAACAATGAGTTGAAATCTACACTTCTCAAAATGCACTGAATTGGTGCAACAATCCAGCAAAAGATTAATTGATGGAACACAGTCCTAACCCTACCTGTCACTGTACATATGTTTATGGTTATAGTCTAAGTATGAGAGCTCCGTCTGCCCGCTCGACACAAATAACCCCATCCAGACACCAACAAAGTGTCTCTGTCTCTCCACAGGGCAGGGAGTCTACATGACAGAGCATGTGAAGCCGCAGCACTCCTTCAGAAGGGTGAGGCCGGTTTTGGTGACGAAGGGAGTGGACAAAGTCTGCTGGGCTTTGGAGGTCATCCTTCGGTCCTCTGTGACATCTGGGAAAAAAAGAGACATCATTATCATCATCATTGTCATCAGCACCATCAGCATGGTTAATGTTGTTATCATATTTTAACTTGGTTCAATCAATGTGACTTGGACTAATTGCACAAAAGGAAGCTTCATATTTGAGCCTTGACTACACAGCACTATGGTAACACATTTGCACATACTTTTTTTCTTCGAGGTCTTGGGAAATTTAGACTGTAAGAAATCAGCCATTTCTTTGTCCTCCTCTCTCTCCCTGTTGAAGGAGATTGAGTGGTGTAGGCACAGTTAACAACAGGGAAAATCTTCCACTATATATTTCACAGCCACTGTTGACATAAAACACAGTCATACACAAGAATGCACGCACACACACAAAATTAACAAATAACCAACCAAACAACTGGATAGAGACAAAGAGGCTCACATGAACACTTCCAACATTTGTTCATATGTGTGGATGGTGTGAATTCACTTTAACAATAAATCATTTTCTCTTTATGGTTTTCTACTGTCAACATCACTTTACTGTAAATTATTAAGTATCTGCTTCCCACGTATCACCCACCTTTCTGAGATCTGTCAAAAGTGTCACTCAGACTTGTAGTCAGAGAAGCAGGGCTGCCTAACATGCAAGACAGCTAATTTAGCGCTCTAAACAAATGCAAGGGGCTTGCACAGCAACATGGAGGAATGGTCACAAACAGGTTCCGATACAGTATGACTCAGAGGTGACAACTGAGTCACCAATATTAATGGTCACTAGATGCTACTTCGGCAACATGTTTAGTTATAGTATCCCTTGCCTTTAAGAACATGATGGCCCACACTTCCTTGACTTTAAGATCATGGCAGCCCTCACCTGAGCCTCTCAAACTCCACGTCATCCACCAGGAAGTCCCTGGTCTCCACCAGCTTGTGGATCTGCTGCAGCAGCTCCTCCTCCCTCTGCCGGTCCTCGTTGGATTTGTCTGTGTCTGGAGTCATACAGACAGTATAGTCATGGAGTGGTCATACAGCAGTCATAAACGGTTCATATAGTAACCATAGATGCTAGGAATCATTAAGCATTCACACAGCTCCAGTTCAAGATTAAGCACCAGGCAAATTAAGCTTAGGCTGATGGATCTGTAACCACCAGATGACTGTGCATGGTGTTGCTGTTACAATACTGAGAAAGGGGCGTGGATAGCATTACCACTGGATCTAACCTACAAAATGTGAGATAATACAGAAAGAGGCTGGAGTTGAAACATTGAAATGATAAGCTGAGATAATGAGGATGTTGTGCTCCAAATCTTCTGCTTTTCTGTACTGCAAATGTTTTATTATTGGTTTTCCTAGAGCACTACCTGGACTATGAGCCCTTTTAATGGAGATATTCCCTCATTTTCTGCCACAGTGAGTGTGTGTGCGCTCTATAATGTGAATTGAACACCTCACCTCACACAGAGAGAGTCACTCTTAGAAAAAAGGTGCTATCTAGAAACGAAAAGGGTTCTTCGGCTGTCCCCATAGGAGAACCCTTTGAATAACCCTTTTTGGTTCAGATAGAACCCTTTTGGGTTCCATGTAAAACCCTTTCCACAGAGGGTTCTACATGGAACCCAAAACGGTTCTACCTGGAACAAAAAAGGGTTCTACCTTGAACCAAAAAGGGTTCTCCTATGGGGACAGCCGAAGAACCCTTTTGGAACCCTTTTTTCTAAGAGTGTATGGTAGCCTACTTGAAACAGACACCAGCTTCTGAAGTTCTTTTTTCAGCCGTGTGATTTCCTTGCAAAGCTGAATGTCGTCCATCCTGAGGGGAAAAAATTGAGGAATCCATTTCATTCTCAATCATAAACCACATTGATATACTTCAAAGGAAATATATATTCACAGCTGTTTAGTATGAGCCAGGGGAAGAGAACCCAGGACAAGGTGAGAATCGGATCCTGTCACGTATCGACTGTCAGTGCAATGGCTGTTCTTCTCCCTGTACCACACTTAGTCTGACAGTCAGGAATCAATCCTAATTTCTCTTATTGACAGAACAATTGAAACCCATACAAAATGCTTCAATACAGAGGATGGAGAGATTGTAGTCTTAAAGATACAATCATGCTGGCTCCAGTGTTGAGTGGTCTCTCTGAAGGCACTGTGGCTTGCATGTATAGCCCCACATTAGGGCTAACACTGAAGAACACAGACAGTCACTACTATGTGAATTGAACACCTCACCTCACACAGAGAGAGTCACTCTTAGAAAAAAGGTGCTGCTGGACAGTAATAAGGATTGTGACATAGAGGACCTTCTGATGTGATCACCCTTCCCTTGGGACCACAATGTGTCAGACAACCCTGCAGTTGTCCCTGAGGCAAAACCTGAGGCAAAACTTCCCATCAAGCCCTCAGCTTCTGCAATAACTCCTCTATTACAACAGTGGTCAATATAACAACAGCGAATTATAGCAATTTTCAAAAGATTGCTGCTGAGTGAAAAAACTGTCTGACAGGCAGGCAGAGCTAGGAGACAGGGAGAGATACTCTAGATGAGTGTAGAGATAATGGCTTCTATAAAATTAAATAAAAAGTGACTCCTCAACGATTCGAACACAGTACATTTAAATGGCCAAATACATAGTAAAATGTAATGCTATAGAATTGAAGCGATTTCCATTTCAGCTTGGTAAACATAGACATAATAACAATAACCATATTAGCCTATCCTACAGACAGAAACCACATCAGTGCAAATGGCGAATGAAATTAGCTTTCTCCTCTTCTCAGGAGGACTGAAATGATTGTTGGCTGAGGGTTTATTAGCTGAAACAACTGATGCCACAGGGCCTCTGAGAATGAGTCACTCCCCATCTCTCTGAGCTGCAGCTGCATCATATCTCATTTCACTGATTGACTCAGGTAGGGAGGTTTAAGTAAACAATACTAGTCAGACACTCTTACAGATGTGGCTATTCCCACTGGAATTCTAATGAGGCTCTGGATAACTGGGCTTTTCCATCGGACGATAAGAGGAAAATGACCTCCTAGATAAACATGCCCCCAGGCCTTTAAGCACAGGAAATGTGTTATTATTTTCAAGCCACTTCATAGGAGTGACCAATGCAGTAGCTGCATCACAGTTTATTTGCATGGAAATTGTGTATGTGCTTTAATATGGATTCCCTTTGTATTGCCCTGTCATTGTGTCTGAAGCTGCATCCCGACATTACAATAAATCTGCCTTTCACAATAAACCACCTTGCGGTGCCTACAGCATTAAAAAAGAATACACACTGAACTGCATACACCTAATGCACTGCATGCAAATGAGAGTTCTCATTTAATTCCATAAGCAAACCATGTCATGTTATTAGTTTTTAATTTCACTTCCACCTAAGTAGATAAGAAAACAAGCTACTTTCCACATCAGAAACCTAACAGTAATTACTTTTCCACATGAACAAAGGTACATTGCTTGTTATTATGCTATCACTGTTCAGTTTCTCTCTGTTAGAGCTGTGGTCAGCCTTGAAAAGACCTTGAGCTCTGCAGCGACTGGTGTCAATATGCTCCTGTCCCAAATGATGAAAAAGGAGGAATCACAGATACAGTAAGAAGTGAGAAATGCTCTCTCTGTGCCGCTGTGCTCATCTACTTAACGGTGAGCGGAAGTATGGCTGTTTACCAGGCCAATAGTGATTACTGTTAGTGTGTAGGGTTAGTGTTCAGTAATCATACTTAATCTCACAGAAATCCCATTTACTTTGTTTAAAGGGTTGCTTATATGTAAGCTCCAACCCAGAAAGGTGAGGTCTGGAGGAGGAACAGTGAGAATATAGCCTCCCCAGCAACTGGACCTCCCCATACCCAGCATCATTATCCTTTCTCTGAGTCTCTCCCCGCTCTCTCCTACACATGTCACAATAATGAAGAAGAAACATTACAGCAAAGGGGATCAGACAGAGAAAAGTATAAAACTGTTTCTTTTCAGAACAAAGTCCATGTGCAGTGTCGAGACAAAAGTGTGTAGGAGCTGAGCTGGTCGACTAATAGGAGAGCAGACAATGTGCTGCTGTCCTCTCTACACAGTATTCGCCTTCATGCACTTGGTCACTCCCATCGCTAGATGCTGTCATATGTGGAGCGTCACCAAGTCAGAGGGGATCACTGTCGAACTCTAATGAGCCCTGTGAAAACCTACTACAGTACAACCACAACCCATTCCACAAGGAGCCAAGGCATGGATGTTACAGTGAGGGGGAAAAAGTATTTGATCCCGGCTGATTTTGTACGTTTGCCCACTGACAAAGAAATGATCAGTCTATCATTTTAATGGTAGGTTTATTTGAATAGTGAGAGACAGAATAACAACAACAAAAAACCCAGAAAAACGCATGTCAAAAATGTTATAAATTGATTTGCATTTTAATGAGGGAAATAAGTATTTGACCCCCTCTCAATCAGAAAGATTTCTGGCTCCCAGGTGTCGTTTATACAGGTAACGAGCTGAGATTAGGAGCACACTCTTAAAGGGAGCCAGAATAAAAGACACCTGTCCACAGAAGCAATCAATCAATCAGATTCAAAACTCTCCACCATGGCCAAGACCAAAGAGCTCTCCAAGGATGTCAGGGACAAGATTGTAGACCTACACAAGGCTGGAATGGGATACAAGACCATCGCCAAGCAGGTAAAAAGGTGACAACAGTTGGTGCGATTATTCGCAAATGGAAGAAACACAAAAGACCTGTCAATCTCCCTCGGCCTGGGGCTCCATGCAAGATCTCACCTCGAGGAGTTGCAATGATCATGAGAACGGTGAGGAATCAGCCCAGAACTACACGGGAGGATCTTGTCAATGATCTCAAGGGAGATGGGACCATAGTCACCAAGAAAACAATTGGTAACACACTACGCCGTGAAGGACTGAAATCCTGCAGCGCCCGCAAGGTCCCCCTGCTCAAGAAAGCACATATACAGGTCCGTCTGAAGTTTGCCAATGAACATCTGAATGATTCAGAGGAGAACTGGGTGAAAGTGTTGTGGTCAGATGAGACCAAAATCAAGCTCTTTGGCATCAACTCAACTCGCCGTGTTTGGAGGAGGAGGAATGCTGCCTATGACCCCAAGAACACCATCCCCACCGTCAAACATGGAGGTGGAAACATTATGCTTTGGGGGTGTTTTTCTGCTAAGGGGACAGGACAACTTCACCGCATCAAAGGGACGATAGACGGGGCCATGTACCGTCAAATCTTGGGTGAGAACCTCCTTCCCTCAGCCAGGGCATTGAAAATGGGTCGTGGATGGGTATTCCAGCATGACAATGACCCAAAACACACGGCCAAGGCAACAAAGGAGTGGCTCAAGAAGAAGCACATTAAGGTCCTGGAGTGGCCTAGCCAGTCTCCAGACCTTAATCCCATAGAAAATATGTGGAGGGAGCTGAAGGTTCGAGTTGCCAAACGTCAGCCTCGAAACCTTAATGACTTGGAGAAGATCTGCAAAGAGGAGTGGTACAAAATCCCTCCTGAGATGTGTGCAAACCTGGTGGTCAACTACAAGAAACGTCTGACCTCTGTGATTGCCAACAAGGGTTTTGCCACCAAGTACTAAATCATGTTTTGCGGAGGGTCAAATACTTATTTCCCTCATTAAAATGCAAATAAATTTATAACATTTTTGACATGCGTTTTTTTGGATTTTGTTGTTGTTATTCTTTCTGTCCCTGTTCAAATAAACCTACCATTAAAATTATAGACTGATCATGTCTTTGTCAGTGGGCAAACATACAAAATCAGCAGGGGATCAAATACTTTTTTCCCTCACTGTATGTGTGAGACTGAAAAGGCCCAAAATGTGTATCCTGTTCTTCTACCTCATACTAGAGGGCTCTGATAAATCACCAAAAGATGTCAGAAACGGAGTGTTGGTGTGATTGGATAGTTATTTTTAAAAATGCTCACATGTATCTTAGTTCTGATTCCCTCCGTACCAGAACATCACGTATCCGCTCAATTCTGAAAAGCTCCCCTTCGATGTCATCTATTGTGATGGTGGAGTCCGCCATTGACACAATGTCTTCCTCTGCTGGAAGGGAAACAAGAAAACAAAGATACACTATATATACAAAAGTATGTGGACACCCCTTCAAATTAATGGATTCGGCTATTTCAGCCACACCCATTGCTGACAGGTGTATAAAATCGAGCACACAGCCATACAATCTCCATAGACAAACATTTGCAGTAGAATGGCCCGTACTGAAGAGCTCAGTGACTTTCAACGTGGCACCTTTCCAACAAGTTAGTTTGTCAAATTTCTGCCCTGCTAGAGCTGCCCACTTCAATTGTAAGTGCTGTTATTGTGAAGCGTGTTGCACGTAAAAATTGTCTCTTCTCAGTTGCACACTAACTACTGAGTTCCAAACTGCCTCTGGAAGCAACGTCAGCACAAGAACTGTTTGGCCGGTGTAGGCCGTCATTGTAAATAAGAATTTGTCCTTAACTGACTTGCCTAGTTAAATAAAGGTTAAATAAAAAATTAATAAAAATAAAAACTGTTCGTTGGGATCTTCATGAAATGGGTTTCCATGTCTGAGCAGCCGCACACAAGCCTAAGATCACCATGTGCAATGCCAAGCGTCGGCTGGAGTGGTGTAAACCTCATCGCCATTGGACTCTGGAGCAGTGGAAACAAGTTCTCTGGAGTGATGAATCACGCTTCACCATCTGGCAATCCGACGGACGAATCTGGGTTTGGTGGATGCCAGGAGAACGCTACCTGCCCCAAAGCATAGTGCCAACTGTAAAGTTTGGTGGAGGAGGAATAATTGTCTGGGGCTGTTTTCCATGGTTGGGCTAGGCCCCTTAGTTCCAGTGAAGGGAAATCTTAACGCTACAGCATACAATGACATTCTAGACGATTCTGTGCTTCCAACTTTATGGCAACAGTTTGTGGAAGGCCCTTTCCTCTTTCAGCATGACAATGCCCCCGTGCACAAAGCGAGGTCCATACAGAAATTGTTTGTTGAGGCTTTCCGAGTGGCGGAGCGGTCTAAGGCACTGCATCGCAGTGTTGCGGCGTCACTACAGCCTGGGGTTCGATCCCTGTGGCTGTGTCATTACTGTCCGTGACCGGGAATCCCATAGGGCGGCGCACAATTGGCCCAGCGTTGTCCGGGTTAGGGGAGGGTTTGGCTGGGTGGGCTTCACTTGGCTCATCGTGCTCTAGCGACTCCTTGTGGCGGGCCGGGTGCCTGCAGGCTGACTTCGATCATTTCTTCTGACACATTGGTGCAGCTGGCTTCTGGGTTAAGCGGGCGGGTGTTAAGAAGCGCAGTTTGGCGGGTCATGTTTCGGAGGACGCATGACTCGACCTTCGCCTCTCCCGAGCCCGTTGGGGAGTTGCAGTGATGAGACAAGATCGTAATCACGAAATTGGGGAGAAAAAGGGGGTAAAAATTACAAAAATAAATACATAAATAATAATATGGTTTGTCGAGATCGGTGTGGAAGAACTTGACTGGCCTGCACAGAGCCCTGACCTCAACTCCATCAAACACCTTTGGGATGAATTAGAACGCCGACTGTGAGTCAGGCCTAATCGCCCAACCTCACTAATGCTCTTGTGGCTGAATGGAAGCAATTCCCCGCAGCAATGTTCCAACATCTAGTGGAAAGCCTTCCCAGAAGAGTAGAGGTTGTTATAGCAGCAAAGGGGGGACCAACTCCATATTAATGCCCATGATTTTGGAATGAGATATTCGACAAGCAGGTGTCCACATACCTTTGGTCATGTAGTGTATTAGCAAGTTATTCTACTGCTACATTGGCATAGTACTATGCATCAGCACGGAAACGGGAACAAATGACTGTTTATTCTGCTCGCGCCACCTATCCCAGCACAACATGTCTTAGAAGAGAGAGGGAGGCCAGAGCAGAACTTTTCAAGTTTCATGTTTATTTGTCTCATGCCAAATACAGTGAAATGCTTAACTTGCAAGCCCTACCCAACAGTGAAGTATTTAATATCAAAATAGTATAACTAATAAAAAACAAAACATGAGAAAAAAGAAATAAGAGAGGAAGCTATATCCAGGGTCAGTGCCAGCACCAAATGTACAATGTACAGGGATACTGGAGTATTGAGTTAGATATGTACATGTAGGCAGGGATTAGGAGAAAGTGACTGATATCAGGATAAATAATAATAACAATAGTAAACAGTATGGCAGCAGCATAAGTGGTGGGTGTGTGTGTGCGTGGTGGTGAGTGTGTGTGTCTTCAGCCTGCCTTAATTATGGCATGTGTGCAGCATGCTTCCTGGGTTTCCTCCCCCAGTGGGACAGCATGGAGGGAATGTGCCTCTGAGTGGCACACTGCCAGGCTGGACAGAGACTCAGTGGTGCTGAGACTGGGATGGCATGACGGCAGCTCTCTCTGAACAGTTGACATCAGGATATTGATCCATGTCTGAGTTTCATGAACAATGAGAAAGAATCTCAGACAATGAGACAGAAGACTGAGAATCAGTGACAATTAAAGTAGGAAATAGATGCTGAGCACCGACGGGCTAGTACATTTCTAGAATCTATAATGAACTGGTTAAGGTCATCAATTAAGTAGACTTGTGCAGTCTCATTAACATTTCCTCATTTGGCCCATCTCCAGCAGTGGTGCCAGGAGGGGGCCGGTCTGTTTCATTGGTCATAGTCTGTGAAGCGCTGTGATTGCTATCCGTGATGAGCTCCTAGTTTCCCAAGATGATATGAAACACTGAATATAATCATCTCCATTATAGTCATCTCAACCTGCAATGGCTAAGAACTGTCAAACATACATAAACAACATATACACTTAACTGGTGCATGAAGGTATGTTGGGGAACTACAAAGAAACAATTTGAAATTAGGACTAGTGATTTGCAATCAGTGATAATCATGTAGATTCCTCTTCATTTTGTCTAGAACTGCTCCATCCTACAACAGACGATGGGCTGGATAATTGGAATAAACCTTTCATTGCTCAGTGTAAAGTTCTACGGACTTGCTTAGCAAGGCTGGGGATGAGTGAGAAAATTGAACATGATGGTGAGTGGAATTTGAGGCAGCTTGATGATGCCAAATGACTCGGATCTCAGCAGGGGATTAAAGGCTGAGATGTCCTTCTTCAGTCTATTGGCTTTTCTTATCCAATGCTATTGTGTTCTTAGTCAACATTAGTTTAATGAGACAACTCAAAACACCTCCCAGAGTGAACTGCCCTGAAGAGTCAACAACTCCCTCTGACCTCTCAGACCTCCAGACGCCCAGGTTGACTGCTCACCACTTAAAAGCTCCTGATAGTTTTTTCAATGGGTCTTCACTAATTACGCATTTGACAAAATCCTCAGAGCAAGCTTGGTGTCTGTGTTTTGATCGTGAGTTGCCTGCTGTATGTGCCTTCCTCCGGAGGCAATTTTCTGCCCCTATTGTGAAAATTGCTCCTGACAATTGGATTTCCAAATGTCACTTTGGATGACCAGAGCTTTACCAGGGCTCTGTGTGTGGCTGGCTATACTCCATTCCTTTTCACCTTTGTGGAGACTCATCACTGTGAGACTCATGGGCGGCGCACAATTGGCCCAGCGTCGTCCAGGGTAGGGGAGGGAATGGCCGGCAGGGATGTAGCTCAGTTGATAGAGCGTGGTGTTTGCAACGCCAGGGTTGTGGGTTCGATTCCCACGGGGGGCCAGTATAAAAAAATAAAATATGTTTTCACTAACTGTTTTGAAACACTTTGATCTAATCTGGATTACTGCAAGTATTTCTATGTATAGGTGTAGCTCAGTTCGAGTATCATATAATCTTCATAAAAAGTCTCTAAATCACAAAACATATTGGATTTTTGTAAAGAAAATTGTCTAAAACGGAAAGATTTCAGCACCAAGTCCTATCAAACTGAATTTATCCTCATGCAAAAAAACACAAGTAGAATAGATAATAAAAAGGTAGCCCGTATATCTACAACTTTCCATGCTACGCACTGTACATCATTAATCATTTTGCAAAGGCTCACCCTTCTTATCGGCTTTTCCATCCAATTTGGTGCGATCCAAAGACCCATATTGTTTGGAGAATTTTCGCTCCTTTTCCATTTCTTCGGTCTGAACGACTTCAGGCTGATAATAATAAATCAGTAGCAGATAAATAACCTTAGCCTACTTGAAAATGGAATTACACGGCGCCGCCTATTTATGTGGCCAAATCGAAACACCATCACCACGTGGAGAATACCTGTTGAACGCTGGCGATGTATTTGCAGAATACAGTGCGATTTCAGCACCACGGACACAGCTCGAGTCGGATGACTGAAGTATAACGTGAAGCGCCACCTTGTGACTTGCAAAGGTACGGGGGGGGGGAATAGAGAGGGTCTGGAGAGACTGGACTGGTAGCAGATGCTGCCTCTGGCCAGTAGGTGGCAGCACTACAAGCCCAGGTCACTGTCACTTACCCTTTGGAGCTGATCCAGCAGCTGTGTACACACAGGGACTTCAGACTAAAGTCATCAGTAGAGAGCAGTAGCCTATAAGTCTACAGTACACAGACAGATAAAATAGTTCAGTCATGAGGTGACAATTCACCCCCCCAAAAAAATCACTTGACAAGGTCAGGATAGTGCGTGAATAAGTCAACAGTATAAGGTGGAAGTGAACAGAAGGACACCTGTCTGGGACCGACTGTTCCTGTTGCAAAACAAATATTTTACTTATGGCGCCTGCTCGGGCTGATAGCTCCTTATCACTCAACTGACTGTTCTCTACAGTCATGAGTCGTGACAGACCAGGCCAAATACAAAGATTCAAGAGGACTGCCACATACTACTGACCTTTGCTTTGTTACATTAAGAGGTGTATTGATATTCACACAAGACATTTTCTGATGTTTGACACTACCCTGTTGTGAGGTATTGACATATCCTGTCCACTGCATTGACTTACAATGTATCAATAAACATACTAGAAACATTAGATAAACAAAAGGTATTGTAATGCCAGTCTTCAATATTTGAGAATGTCTTCAAGGCACAATAATACAAATATTTTTATTGATATATTACTATTCATTGGACATGTATATCAACCACTGTATGTAATGTATTGCTGTATCCACTCCAAGCATTATAAATTAAACAAAGCTTTCAGGGAGAGGTGCATATCTATGTTAATGTCTCTGGCTGACATGCTGAAATAACAGTCAGGTCAAAATGGGCAATGTCACCTGTGGCAAGTTTGGCAAACATCCTTTGAAATACAGGTTCAGCAACCAACCACAGATAGCTTCTAATACTCCCTCGTACTTCCCCCACACAAGAGACACATATACATTACATTTGAGTCATTTAGCAGATGCTCTTATCCAGAGCGACTTACAGTTAGTGAATACATTTTTTTTTTTTTATACTGGCCCCCCGTGGTAGACCTACAGCTGAACGTTGAACAATACATAACATTTTCACAGTGGACTCAAGAGAGTAAGTATCTTTGCCATATGTGAGCAGGCTAAACCACACATTCAGGATGAGCCTGTTAGTCCAGGGTTTTGTCTCGCCCAAAAAGACCACACCTGCACTCAAGTGGCCTTATGTTACAGACAGTAAAGCTGCCTAACGTGGACTGTACTAACACTCATAAGCACTCGCACAGTTACTCAGTCACCTGCCCACACCTAATTATTCTCCGTTATTTGCTATCCAGAGTTTCTTGATAGCTTATGCAAATGACAGTTTATCATCACTCTGCATTCACAGTGGATCAACCTCCAGTGCAATAGTAAGGCTTGCAGTCCATATGTTTAGTTTAACTGAAGAATGTTAAATGCCTTCTGGGCAGGTGGGGAATGCCAGAGCATTAGCACTAAATGAATAAAGCTGCAGTAATGAGAATTAAAAAGCAACACTTGGTTTTCAATTAAACCAGCCAAGGACGGATTCACTTAGCAGTTTGTGGAGCAGCAAGAAGACAGACTAAATGAAGAGTGACATGTCCGTAAGTGGTGGTGTCCTGCTCCCATTGTGTTGCATATTGTACTGTAGGGCTAATGAGTTATCCTTCTGCCCGTGTTATTATTGCTCTTGTCATCCTCCATGGCTTTCTCCAGCCAGTCTCTCTCCTGCTCCGACTCTGATTCGCTCACTTCACTGGTGTCAGCAGCGAGGAGGCGGGAGTAGTTGATCCTGCGTTGGCGTGGGGCTTTCCACTGGAGCAGTGACAGAAACAGGCACCACAGGAGCAGAATCACCACCACCCCTCTGAAAAGCACAGATACCCCAAACCTGTGGACAACAAACCCCCCGGCCAAGCTGCCCAAGCCCTGCCCCCAGGTCCAGAGAGAGGGCCTGGTAGACCCTCCTCAAGCTCCTCTCCATGCCCGGCGTGGCCACGTCCTCGCACTGCATCTGCACTGCCCACCAGAGGGCGCCACTGCTGAAGCAGCTCAGCACCTGGGCAGGTAGTGCAGCCCAGGGGCCCCACAGGAAGGAGTAGTAGAGGCACTGCAGGGCCAGGCAGGCCGTCCCCACCAACAGCACCCTGCCTGGGCTCAGGAGCTTTGACACTTGGCCACTCAGCAGAGGGAAGGCGGCCCGGGAGAGCACCGCTAAGGCTAAAGAGATGCCCATGTGCAGCTCGCTGCTCCCATGGTCCTGCATCTGCCACAGCAGGAAGTCATCCACCGCAGACCCCGCCAGCCCCATTAGGAAGGCAGTGACAGCACACAGCAGGGCCCGGAGGTCCCCTCGCACCAGCTGTAAGGCTTTGAAGAGCCCAGTGGAGCGACTACGCTTCTTGTTGAGGTAGAGGGGCAGGAAGGCTACCACAGGCACGGCCAGGGTTGTCAGAGCTGCATAGGAGTAGAAGTGGACAGCGCTCCTGGGTGTGTGTGAGCCAATGAGGCAGTCCAGGTGGCTCACCAGCAGTCCTGCACCACCCACCCCACACGCTGCCCCAAGCAGCCCCCACACCCCTGTGCTACCATAGCGATCAGAGGCATCCACAAAATCCAAGTACTCATACAGCCCATCGTCCACGGTCCATTCCAGCGGGGCGGCCATCAGCTCCCATAGCGACACCAACGATGAGGAGCATGAAGAAGAGCTGGTGCTGGACGTCCATAACTTTGAGGCTGCCCAGGAACTGGAAGTGGGCCTCGTCCTTCTCCCTCTGCTGCTGCTTCTCCTGACCTCCTGACCTCCTACTCCTCCTCCTCACTGTGGGTGAAGTGTTGGAGGCACCGTGGTGGGACTCTGAGCCATTGCTCTCCCCTCCTTTACTGCGGCTGGCCACAGATACATTCACTTGTGACCATTGAGAAGTCACATTGTTGGAACGTTGCTGCTGGAGTGTGTAAGTTGTGGCTTTGCTCATTGAAACAGGAGAAGACACAGTGTCACCGGTTGTATCTGTAGGTGAAGATTCATGTGCTGCTGACTGGGATACAATGGTAGTGTGGGTGGTAGGCATTACACTGCCAAAAACAGGCACATCGTCACTCAGCTCTTCAGTGGGGCTCACACTGAGGTGAGAAATGTTGCAGTGACTGGTCAGCGTCTCGACGCCTGTGGATGGGATGAGCAGGAGGACGAGGGCTGCCCCTGCTGAACATACCAGAGACCCCGTAATCACTGCCCTCCTCTTGTTGTAGTGTCTGGCCAGAAAGCTGGACAGAGGGCTCCAGACCAGGGAGATGAGATGCTTGGTGCTCATGAGAAGGCCCGTCATGGAGGGAGTGAGGCCAAGGTATCTGAGGTACAGGGTGAGGAAGGGGAGGATGCAGGCTCTGGCACAAGAATACAGGAAGTGGAAGGTGCTGGCGAGGGCTAGAGCACCCTTAATGTCTATCTGCTTGTTCCTCTTCATGGCTGCCAGCCAAGTGAACTCGCTGACTCACAGAATCTTCATACAGAGCACGCACTGTGAATACATACGAATAATATGTAGAGAAATAATTATAAACATATTTCAAACAGTAGCTAACATGTACATTTACTATTTGGTTAATGTTTGAATACCTGGAAAATAATGCAATATATCTTAAAATCAAGTATAGATACATAGCAATCATATTTAACATTGAGGATGTGATCATATTTGTTTTTATTTAACTTTAACGAATGCCTATATTATAAGAATGACTGAAATCACTGAAAATAAAGATATCATCGGCCATATATGCACCTAATCAAACCTTCAATAAAAAACTGTAACCTAATTCAATAGAGCCAAAAACATCAACCACTAACATCAGTAGGCTACAATGACTTACCGTCAAAACGATTAATCCAATTTTCGGCGCAGCTGGCGTGTTTGAGGCTAGTCGATGAACCTGTTTCAACCTAGGCATGTCCACTCCGTCCATGTCCACGTCATCTTTTACAGTAAACTGTTTTACACAACTTATCCTTTTTGAGAGTAGACTTTAATTAACGTATGGTTATTCTTTGTGCTCGGTCATTTTGGCTCTGACTTTTTACGTCTCTTATATCGTTATTGATAGTTGTCACGAGCGCACCTGTTATCACCTCTCTGTAAATTGAAAAAGAAAAGTTGTGGTACACACCTTGCACGTATCCATCTGTTTGTCTGCAGCGCCCTCACGGCGTGAGGATGACAACTGCACGAGACAGGGGGAAAAAAACACCCAGCTCAGGTGGTGAGTTTTTCCAGTGCTACATGATTAAATTAACTCATAGTTTATTCATACAAAAAAGTCACACAGTCAAAAATATGTTCTTCATTCTAAACATTTGAATCGGGTAAGATGTAAGAAGTAATAATAATATAATATAATAATATGCCATTTAGCAGACGCTTTTATCCAAAGCGACTTACAGTCATGCGTGCATACATTTTTTGTGTATGGGTGGTCCCGGGGATCGAACCCACTACCTTGGCGTTACAAGCGCCGTGCTCTACCAGCTGAGGACCATAATTTCCTCTGTGATTAATAACACAGTGCCTTCCTTTAATAGCATAGTGTAAACAGAACATTTATTGCAAACAAGCACTGTAGAAAGTAGTCCAGATTAAATACAGTCAAAACATTAACAATTCACTGGACTGTCCATCTGGAATTTGCAAGGAAATATACAACTGCTGAACATGTCTTTATACAGTCAATATGCTGTGTTAAAGAAAATTACAAAAGTTAGTTGTGTTTCAAGAATATAGCTGCACTTTTGTAGACAGGAGTGACAGCTCTAAAAATGTTACTGTGCCTGTTGAACCCCACCCACACTACTAGGCATTGGCATCGATTAAGCTGAACCACGGTGCACCGGTCTATGGCCCATGACATGAATGGGCAAAAGCGGTGAGCGAGGAGCGCAATTCTCAACTCGAACAGTAATCTGCGCCGCTCTGTCATGTTGTCTACTAGGCAGCATGTTGCATCATTCAGAAACAAACAACCAGGGTGTTTACAAACACTACAAGAACAAGATCATCCACATGTATTGATCACATTTTACTAATACTGTAGAACGTTGTTCTAAAGCTGTATCCGTACCCATTGGATGCAGTGATCACAATATAGTGGCTATATTCAGGAAAGCCAAAGTTCCAAAAGCTGGGCCTAAAATAGTGGATAAGAGATCATACAAAATATTTTGCTGTGACTCTTATGTGGATGATGTTAAAAATATTTGTTGGTCTGATGTGATTAATAAGGAGCATCCAGACACTGCACTTTATGAAATTGCTTCTTCCAATTATTGATAAACATCCACCTGTTAAGAAACTGACTGTTAGAACTGTTAAGGCTCCATGGATTGATGAGGAATTGAAAAACTGTGTGGTTGAAAGAGATGGGGCAAAAGGAGTGGCTAATAAGTCTGGCTGCACATCTGACTGTCTGACTTACTGCACATTGAGAAATGATGTGACTAAACTCAACAACAAAAAAGAAGAAACTGTATTATGAAGCCAAGATTAATGATATAAAGAATGATGCAAAAAAACGTTGGAATACTTTAAATGAAATTATGGACAGAAAGACAAATTCAACTCCATCTTTCATCAAATCAGATGGCTTATTCAGCACAAAACCATTTGATGTTGCCAATTATTTAAATGATTACTTCATTGGCAAAGTGGGCAAACCTAGGCTGACTAGTCTCCCAGTCCCTGCCGCTGAAAAACATCCCCACAGCATGATGCTGCCACCACCATGCTTCACCGTAGAGATGGTGCCAGGTTTTCTCCAGACGTGACGCTTGGCATTCAGGCCAAAGAGTTCAATCTTGGTTTCATCAGACCAGAGAATATTGTTTCTTATGGTCTGAGAGTCCTTTAGGTGCCTTTTAGCAAACTCCAAGTGGGCTGTCATGTGCCTTTTACTGAGGAGTGGCTTCCGTCTGGCCCTTCTACCATAAAGGCCTGATTGGTGGAGTGCTGCAGAGATGGTTGTCCTTCTGGAAGGTTCTCCCATCTCCACAGAGGAACTCTGGAGCTCTGACAGAGTGACCATCGGGTTCTTGGTCACCTCCCTGACCAAGACCCTTCTCCCCCGATTGCTCAGTTGGGCCGGGCAGCCAGCTCTAGGAAGAGTCTTGGTGGTTCCAAACTTCTTCCATTTAAGAATGACGGAGGCCACAGTGTTCTTGGGGACCTTCAATGCTGCAGACATTTTTTGGTACCCTTCCCCAGATCTGTGCCTTGGTACAATCCTGTCTCGGAGCACTGCAGACAATTCCTTCGATCTCATGGCTTGGTTATTGCTCTGACATGCACTGTCAACTGTGGGACCTTATATAGACAGGTGTGTGCTTTTCCAAATCATGTCCAATCTATTGAATTTACCACAGGTGGACTCCAATCAAGTTGTAGAAACATCTCAAGGATAATCAATGGAAACAGGATGCACTTAAGCTTAATTTCGAGTCTCATAGCAAAGGGTCTGAATAATTATGTAAATATGTTATTTCTGTTTTTTATTTGTAAACATTTGCAAAAATTTCGAAAAACCTATTTTAGCTTTGGCATTATGGGGTATTGTGTGTAGATTGATGAGGATTTTTATTTATTTAATCAATTTTAGAATAAGGCTGTAACGTAACAAAATGTGGAAAAAGGGAAGGGGTCTGAATACTTTCCGAATGCACTGTATCTAATAGAACTCAAAGGGTTTTCCTTAATGGAAGCTCCTCTAATGTCAAACATGTAAAGTGTGGTGTACCGCAGGGCAGCTCTCTATGCCCTCTACTCTTTTCTATTTTTACCAATGACCTGCCACTGGCATTAAACAAAGCATGTGTGTCCATGTATGCTGATGATTCAACCATATATGCATCAGCAACTACAGCCAATGAAGTCACTGAAACCCTTAACAAAGAGTTGCAGTCTGTTTTGGAATGGGTGGCCAGTAATAAACTGGTCCTGAACATCTTTAAAACTAAGAGCATTGTATTTGGTACAAATAATTCCCCAAGTTCTAGAACTCAGCTGAATCTGGTAATGAATGGTGTGGCTGTTGAACAAGTTGAGGAGCCTAAATTACTTGGCATTACCTTAGATTGTAAAAACTGTCATGGTCAAAACATATAGATTCAATGGTTGTAAAGATGGGGAGAGGTCTGTCCGTAATGAAGAGATGCTCTGCTTTTTTGACACCACACTCCAAAAAGAAAGTTCTGCAGGCTCTAGTTTAGTCTTATCTTCATTTTTGTCCAGTCATGTGGTCGAGTGCTGCAAGGAAAGACCTAGTTAAGCTGCAGCTGGCCCAGAACAGAGCGGCACGTCTTGTTCTTCATTGTAGTCAGAGGGCTGATATAAATACTATGCATGCCAGTCTCTCTTGGCTAAGAGTTGAGGAGAGACTGACTGCATCACTTCTTCTTTTCATAAGAAACATTAATGTGTTGAAAATCCCAAATTGTTTGCATAGTCAACTTACACACAGCTCTTACATACACACTTACCCCACCAGACATGCCACCAGGGGTCTTTTCACAGTCCCAAAATCCAGAACATATTCAAGAAAGCGTACAGTATTATATAGAGCCATTATTGCATGGAACTCCGTTCCATCTTATATTGCTCAAATGAACAGCAAACCTGGTTTAAAAAAAAACAGATAAAGCAACACCTCACGGCACAACGCCTCTCCCCTATTTGACCTAGATAGTTTGTGTGTATGTATTGATATGTAGGCTACGTGTGCCTTAAAAAAAAAAGAATTTGACGTAGTTCTGTGCTTGAGCTTGTTCATGTCTATTAATGTTCTGTATTATGCCATGTTTCATGTTTTGTGTGGACCCCAGGAAGAGTAGCTGTTGCTTTTGCAACAGCTAATGGGGATCCTAATAAAATACCCCCAAAAAATACAAACAACATCTCTTTTTCATAAAATATATGTTAGAATTTTCAAACTAGTTTTCATTGGGAAGGCAGATAAAGTGTTTTTTTATCAAAATAAATCCCTTTTGCATGTGAAAACACAGAATCCTACTCATTACACCACGTGCTTAACCTGCGTCACTTTTGTTTTTAGCTTCCTTCGCCGTTGGCCAGAGCGGGGCACCTGGCTCACGCCCGGGACGGAGCCCGGGTCGGAGCCCAGGCCAAATAATCAAATCCCCTCAGTGGTTGATGCCAGTGAAGGTGTTGATTGGCAGAGGCAGGATCTTGCACAAGTACTTGCTCAGCCCCGCCTCCCACTCCTCTCCCACACTGAAATTGGACTTGGAACTTGTCTGGGGGCAATACCCTGGATCCAAGCATGGAGAGATCTCAATGCTGTAAAATAGTGTTACTTACTTAGTTATTACAGTTTGAGCCCAGGGAAATTCTCTGTAAAAGACAACCAAATAACTACTGTATAGTATTGATCAATAGTAGAGATGGTAGAGCATCATGGCATTCTATTGCTGATGAGTGTTATCTCTGACCTTTGGACATGTGTGTATTTCCTGCGACAGTCTTTGTCCAGACACACAGTGAAGGTCTTATCCTCCAGGATTCTGATTTTAATGTTTTGGGTTCTGATCTCCTGTAAACACAGCAGGGTAAAATTAAATATCCTGATAGGTTGGGAGCAAAAATCATTGTGGGATGTGACTCCAAATTGCAGTACATATTGTATGCCTACCCTCTTTACATGTATGGGCTCAAATCAAACCTCTACCATTATATATAATTGCCTTAATCAATAATCTACTTTGGAGGTGAGACATGAGGATAAGATCAAGAAACCACATCCGGCAGTGTGTTGCCTGACTGACAGTTTCAGTACTTTTCAATATGGTGTTACTGGGGTCTCAATGATTTATTAATCACACATTCAGAAATATCCTTACCGCGCAGCATCTTGGATTTGTGCTGTCAAAATTGACAGTGAGGAAATCAAGACCTAGGGAAAGTAGGGATGACAAATTGTTGATTTGAGGTAATGAAACCAAGTTGCCATTGAGAACAGCTAGGTAGTTACTATATGTTTTAATGCAAACCTTCTGTTTCATTGGGTGATATTGCACTGATGACCACTCCACATGTCATCACTGACATTCCCTTAACAACCTCTTGTTTGCTCAAGGAGACCTGCAGAAAGTATATGAGACACAAACACATTTGGTACAGTAGTTAAGACATTATGCCATACGGATTTAAAGGATATCTAGATATTGCCATAGTTGTTACTTTTCATTTAAAAGTGTACCACTTGTTCCTAAATGATTACAGTGATACTGTGACTACACTAAACCAGCAGGAATACATTCACTAACCACTAACCAAATATTATATAACACAAATAGGGAAGAAAGCCTTCAGAAAGTACCTTACTGTAATTCACAGAAACCACCGCTCCACAGGTTCCAAGTGGCTTCCTTGTTCGTCGCCTACTAGATCTCTCTGCACAGAGACATTATGACAATCACCAACAGAAGCAATAACAGGACCAGATAGTTTCTGTCCCTGTCCTTACAACACGGTTCAGGCTGCATTCACAGTTTTGACAACAGTACCTTGTCTCAGATTTTCTCTGAGGGTTTTAAACTCTGGGAACTCTGCTTCCAGGTGGGACACAAACACCTCCTCCACAGGGCTGCCAGTCTGGCCAGAGACAGATATCTAAAAACACAACAGGGCAACAAGAACAAGCTGAAATTAGGGAGAAATTGTGTTCTGTTTTTTTCTTAATGATAAAAAGTGGTTAAATTGAGCCGGAGCTACTCGAAGCAGGGCTCCTGCACCTTGGGTCAAATGATTAATGTCCACATCCTGGTTAAACCCTTAACCTAGCCTCAACCACAACCACAACCCTAACCCTAGATTCCTGTCCACATCTCAGTTCAAGCCTAAACCTCAACCCTAACCATAATGCTAGCTTCATGTCCACATCCCGGTTCAACCCTAAGCCTAGCTTTACGTCCACATTCTGGTTCAACCCTAAACCTTGCCTCAACCACAAACTTAATCCTAACTTTAGCTCCAGCCCTAACCATAACTTAAACTCCAACCTTAATCCCCCCCATCCATCAAATAGGGCTTCCCAACCTCCAAATTCCCAATTTAACCCCTGATGAAAACCGTAATAATTATGTTATTCTGGGCTATGAACTCTTAAGTATGAACTATTCATGGGCAGCCATATGTTTGTGTATCATCCTGCTGCTAACACACACACACACACTCACACACACACACGTGACTATAACATGTGGATGTATCTCAGGGACCTGACCTTGACGGAGTAGAGTGTGAAGTGGACAGGCTGTAGGCCACAGCGAAGGTAGTAGGAGAGGACATCCACAAGGAATAGGTTGGGTTCTGATGACCTGCTGTGACTGGACTGCTGCAATGGCACATAGTAGACACAGTATTAGGTCTCACTGTGACATGACTGGATGTCTATTTCTCTCTTAAAACCCCTTTCCATTTAGGTATCCTTGAAACTATTTGATGGATCTTTCTGGATAATCATGATCAGAATTAGACCATGTGATTACTTTATGAAACAATGCATGTAGTAGTAATCATCACCGTTCCCGCCAGCTTTGGAATCATGGCTCCCAAACTGTTGATGTTGCTTTCGTACCAGGGATCAACCCTTCCTAAGAACGAGGCTAGAGACAACCTGTCTCCAACTTGTGATGTGCTTCCCTGAAAAAGAGAAAAAGACTGTGGTTCCTTAACCTATCAAATCATACCGGTTACTGTACATGTGTAGCATGAGATGGATGTTTATTTTACATTATTGGTATGATTTGATTTTGGACTGGATTATTGCTCACAGGTGAATTGACGATGGGCTCATTAGTGACAGGGATGTAGTATATCTGTAGGTTCACTCTCTTGGTCAAGATGAGATATTTTGCCTCCCTTTTTCTGCACACAAAAGCAATGCACATTGTAAAACAGTTCACACACATTCCTAAATGACAGAATTATAGTGTAATTACAGTGTAGTCCTCTGTATCTCAGTTGGTAGAGCATTGTGTTTGCAATGCCAGGATAGTGGGTTCAATTCCCAGCACTACCCATACATAAAATGTATGCACACATTACTTTAAGTCGCTTTGGATAAAAATTGAATTTCACATGTATGAGGATGGAATTAGGTATTAAGGGACATTAAGGGACAGTAGAAGTACTTTCTACCGGATGGAGTGATACGCCTTGGCCAGTCTCCCCAGCACCCTGTCGTCTCCCATCACCACTATGCGTGCTGTATGGTTCCCCTCCTCTTTAGGGAGAGGGGTGCTACTGGTGGGCCCCTTGATGTTTTCCTGCACCAGCGCCATTTTGTCTTCCGGCTTCATTCTCCCTCTGAAACCCGGTGACCGGTCCTTCTCTATTCCACTGTCAACAGACAGGAGGGAAACCCTCTTGGACACATCCTTCTCCTCTTCCTCCTCCTGGTACATAGAGTTCCGCTCAGAGGGGGAAACGTTTAGGGTGAAGTTCATCAGCTCATTCCCTATAGAAAAATATGAAAGATTCAAGATTGCCACACTATCTATTAGTCTGATTTGACAGTATTCTCAAGTCTTTATAATGGCCTAGAGACTCTAATGTTCTCTAATGTTGACTCACACAGCTCCTCTTCGTTTGTCCACAGGTGGAAGTGAATCTTTGGAGAGGGCAATGGAGTGTTAGAAAGAGAGCCCCGGGCCTTTGGGTCTGAACAGAGAGAGAGTGAACATAAAACAATAAACAGTGCGTATCCTGTTTGTCACAGTCAGCAAATCTCTTTCATTATTCTCCTCTAGGCTTGGGTGGTATACCATATATACCGTATGCCGGGGTATTTGGAAATAGCCACGGGATCGTTTTTCAATACCGTCAATAACGTTTAAGCTATTTATTTGAAGTTTTTCATTAAATAAAAATATTTGTAGCTACTCTTTTAAGTAAATACCTTCAGTCAACTTGTGCAATACATTAAGAGATAAAGCAGATTGCGTACTTCATTTCAGCTGTCACACTATCTTACATTATGAAGCTTACCGTAGTTCCCCAGAACAGTTAAGCCAGTCACGTGTTTGTTTGTAAATAGCACAATGGGAGAAAGCGGGAGCAGGTCAGTCCAGCTGAGTACTCACAGGGGTATTATATTTTATATTGAAAGTCAACAGTGTTTTTTTGCTTCAATAGAGTGATCAGGGGCGTGTAACTATACTTTCCTTCACAGAAAATACATTAGTGTAACACATTCGGCAGAAAATAGCTTAATTCTTTATCAGATGACAACAGAAGTGAAACGCTATTTGGCTGGCAGCCACACAAGTAAATGAGCTTAATATGAAAAAGCAAGGAATATTTTCAAAAATGATGCATGGCCATCATATTTCTAATGTTTATCATAGAAAGAACGTAGCCAGCTACATTTCCTAATGTTTTGCTTAAAGTTAATCTAGCATTTTACAGGAGAAAAGTAGGCTACACTAAAAAGTACCGGAGAAAAGTAGCTCCACATTAGTCAGAGCGCTGTCTGCTGATAGAATGCTCGTTCCTGAATTCTCATCTGAATGGAGAAGTGCAACTGAAGCACAGAATTAGTCTGATGCCGAGCAGAAATTACAATAAGAAGCATTTTAGATCTGCGTTTATAAAACGCAGCAAGGTATTTCTTATACGTTTGATATTTTTTTCGTGAAAAATGCAGAATTCTTCGTTAACGCGACCCCTAAGTTTAACTTGCTAGTTATCTAAGTAAGTGGCTGAATTAATAAGGTGACAGGGCATCATATGATGTTAGCTTTCTGCCGTGTCTGAGAAATCTGTACAGCTGCCAATGTTATCTTGATTTCCTTGCGTTTTTTCTCCTCTACATTCTTGGCTGTCTGCTACTCCTTCCCTCTTCTCCGAGCAGAACAGGCAGGCCCGTTGCCCTAGAGACTCCAGACTCCACACAGAAACAGTGTGTACACATACTGCTCCAGAGCCAGTACTGTTCTTCCTTCAGACAAGCACGGATCAAAACTTTGTTCATTTGCACAATGTCTCTTGTTCACATTCGCTTGTAAATGTCCAAACTCACCAAAAATGACATTCAGTAGCTCCTACCTATATATGTATAACTTAATGAGCTGGAATTCCTGTCATTGCAATTTGTTTATTTTCGTTTGCGCTCGTTAGCATATTTAGCTAGCAGCCTTCATGGAAATTCGCTATTAATTGTGCTTTGCTAGCATTATGGTAATAGATGCCCAATGTTTTTTTCTGTTTTTTGGCGCCCCCTTGTGTACTACACAGGTAATACCGTAAATCCCGAGATGAGAGAAGGACGGTATGACGATATGAAAATCTGGAAACCGCCCAACCCTATTCTCCTTTACACACACCTTGGTTAGCAGAGGTCAGGATGTCACTGTAGATGTGCTGTAGCCTGGTCTGGTACTGGTCACGGCCAGCCTCGCCGTTCTCTATACTCTGCTCTACAGCTAACACCACCTCCTGGAAGTACTGCTCCACATCTTCTCCTAGATCCTGCAACACACACACACATGCCCGCCCGCACACACGCAGGCACACATGTGATTTCATGATCCATCTGATGCACACAAATATGAAATCAATTAATCCAAACGTCTCATATCATCACAGCCCATTGACCTCCCTCACCTCCAGAGCTTGAGTCAGTATGGGGCCATGACAGGCCTTCACCAGTCCAGCCTGCAGAGTGTGCAGTAGCACCAGTCTTGCCAGTGTGTCACTTTGGGGGCTGGCCAGCTCCAGGTCTGCCCTCACCGCCTGCCACATGGGCCCTGAGAACACAGCAGGGTCTGCAAACACAAATACCCTACAGGGGACACAGTCAGAGGGGCAGCCAGTCAGCACAGCTATTGTGGATACAGCACAACCTCAGAGTAGCTGAGGGGAAAGTCCTCATTTACAAGCATCAGTTTGTGAAAGGGAAAGTATCACCACAGCTCACACAGAGCAAAATAAATACCACCCTCACCTTACGAGAAATGACCATGATTAAATTAGTCAGCTGTTGCTAATAATGATTCAGTGACTACAAATGGACTTCAGTGGGAAGTGTAAAATATCTTCTGATGGCATATGTGTTCATGGTTGTTTTAAACTCACTTTTCCTGCTTGGGAAAATGTTTGTTCCTTAGGCTCTGCTCAGCAATGACCCTTCTCTGATACAAAGCTCCTGTGGAGTAAGTTATTGTAAGGTAGAAACTCAGATAAATGTTTGGAGAACTGTATACTGTCTTCTTATGATTCAAATGTGCTTGTGCTACAGTACATGCCACTGAAGTGTAAAGTGCTATTGATGAGTACCTGGTGTGATCTGCTCCATCTTTATGCTCCTCATGTATCTCAGTGTGATAGTACAGTAGGGCTCTGGAAGTGTTAGCAGCCTTTTCAAGCACTCATACACTCTCTGATACAGGTTACATGGAATGTGGCCAGACTGCTGCCGATACACCGGAATAGAGACAACAGCCATCACAATCAGATACATACATCAGAGCTGATTGGCAAGTAAAAACAAACAAGGAACAATATAACTATTCTGTGCATGATAAAGATAACCAGGAACTCAACACAATAAATATAATACGTGGATATAACACAGTAAATAAGACGTCAGTAATACAGGACAGCTACTCTATGATCAAGGTAATTTCAGATGAAGGTAAGGTAAATGGATCTGACCTGAATAATAACATAGATGAGAGTGTGAAGCAATGGAATGACATGCATCTTATCGTCAATCCTCTCCACCTGAATCAACAAATGAAGGAAGGTTTCATCAACAAACTGACAATTAAATGGCCAATTCTACTTCTGAAGACAAAGGGCATGCCATGTGTCATTCTGCAAGAACAAAACACTCTAGTAGTGGCAGACCAACCTTCTCCAGCTCTTTGACCAGAACCCTGACCAGTGAGACACTGTTAGACGGATGGGTCTCCACCTTCTTATGAAGAGTCCACCTCAGCATACCTTCAGGAAGTCATACAATGCTGCTGAATTGACAACATTATGTCCTCTAGTCTATTAAATTGTGTAATACTAATAATATTCTATAATAGATAATTATGCCACATAATGATACATGTGATAATCGTTTCCTTTTAATTGTTGTATGCACTGATAATGTACCTTTGTTGCATGAGGAGGCAGCCTGTCTGAGGATGGCCCGGATACTGGTGTACATACTGGACTCCACTGCTGACGACATACTGACAGCTACAATAATAGAGTTATAAACATCACTTCATATTTTGACAAGATAGCAGCTCTGTTTAAAACACAGTGGTCCTATGTGTGGGGATTCTTACAACTAGACATCAGTCTACCCAAGTGATTAATAGAGACAAACAACAGTAAACAGTAAAGAGCAAAGTATACATAAATAATTAAAATACTGTATGAGTTCAAAGACTGAGTGAGTGAAAGTGTACCTACTGGAGGGTTCCATGGGGTTGTTTTCTTATTAATCCCAAGAGAATTTTGAGGTCAAACATCACATTTTAGCATCATGGGCTCCCTCCTAGAGAAAATAGCAGGGGTTGATGACACCACATGTACTGTATATAGTGGATATACAGTGCATTTGGAAAGTATTCAGACCCCTTGACTTTTTCCACATTTTGTTACGTTACAGCCTTATTCTAAAATGGATTTTAAAAAATTACAAATCCTCATCAATCTACACACAATACCCCATAATGACAAAGCGAAAACAGGTTTTTATTTATTTTTGCTAATTTATAAAAAAAAAAAAAAAACTGAAATACCTTATTTACATAAGTATTCAGACCCTTAGCTATGAGACTCGAAATTGAGCTCAGGTGCATCCTGTTTCCATTGAACATCCTTGAGATGTTTTTACAACTTGATTGGAGTCCACCTGTGGCTAATTCAATAGATTGGACATGATTTGGAAAGGCATACACCTGTCTATATAAGGTCCCACAGTTGACAGTGCATGTCAGATCAAAAACCAAGCCATGAGGTTGAAGGAATTGTCCATAGAGCTCCGAGACAGGATTGTGTCGAGGCACAGATCTGGGGAAGGGTACCAAAACATTTCTGCAGCATTGAAGGTCCCTAAGAACACAGTGGCCTTCATCATTCTTAAATGGAAGAAGTTTGGAACCACCAAGACTCTTCCTAGAGCTGGCCGCCCGGCCAAACTGAACAATCGGGGGAGAAGGGCCTTGTTCAGGGAGGTGACCAAGAACCCGATGGGTTCCTCTGTGGAGATGGGAGAACCTTCCAGAAGGACAACCATATCTGCAGCACTCCACCAATCAGGCCTTTATTGTAGAGTTGCCAGACAGAAGCCACTCCTGAGTAAAAGGCACATGACAGCCCGCTTGGAGTTTGCCAAAAGGCACCTAAAGACTCTCAGACCATGAGAAACAAGATTCTCTGGTCTGGTGAAACCAAGATTGAACTTTTTGGCCTGAATGCCAAGCATCATGTCTGGAGGAAACCTGGCACCATCCCTAAGGTGAAGCATGGTGGTGGCAGCATCATGCTGTGGGGATGTTTTTCAGCGGCAGGGACTGGTAGACTAGTCAGGATTGAGGGAAAGATGAACGGAGCAAAGTACAGAGAGATCCTTGATGAAAACCTGCTCCAGAGTGCTCAGGACCTCAGACTGGGCGAAGGTTCACCTTCCAACAGGACAACGACCCTAAGCACACAGCCAAGATAATGCAGGAGTGGCTTCGGAACAAGTCTCTGAATGTCCTTGAGTGGCCCAGCCAGAGCCCGGACTTGAACCCGATCGAACATCTCTGGAGAGACCTGAAAATAGCTGTGCAGCGCTTGAGAGGATCTGCAAAGAATGGGAGAAACTCCCCAAATACAGGTGTGCCAAGCTTGTAGCGTCATACCCAAGAAGACTCAAGGCTGTAATCGCTGCCAAAGGTGCTTCAAAAAATTACTGAGTAAAGGGTCTGAATACTTATGTAAATGTGATATTTCCCATTTTTATTTGTAATAAAGTAGCAACATTTCTAAAAACCACTTTTCTCTTTGTCATTATGGGGTATTGTGTAAGGATTGATGAGGAAAAATATAGATTTAATCCATTTTAGAATAAGGCTGTAAAGTTACAAAACGTGGAAAAGGTCAAGTGGTCTGAATACTTTCCGAATGCACTGTAAGACAACTGAAGGTGGGGGGCCTTCTCCGCAACTCATAAAAACATAAAGCCTTTTTGATCATTCACTTGATAAGTGACACCTAACCTATCAGACACCAAAGTCGATACATACAGGGAAACATTGGGAAACAAATTATATTGACAATTTATATTGCACAATTGTCACAGCGTCTTCCGGGTTTGGTCGGTGTAGGCCGTCATTATAAATAAGAATTTGTTCTTAACTGACTTGCCTGGTTAAATAAAGGTAAAATAAAAATAAAAAAAATAAAAATTGATGAATTTATGTAATTTACAAACGTACATAAAAACATTCAAACAACCTCAAACGGTCTAAAGCTGCCATTCCGCATCAACACATAGCGTACAGTACAGTAAGTCTCCTCAGATAACACCTTGAGGCCAGAATTAACCTGTTTCCTGTCTACAGAAATGTGTAGGTGTAGAGAGCATGACGACTAGTTATAGACTGAGAAGTACTCTCTGACAAACTGAAAGGCAGAAAGACCAATAATCAAAACATTAACTACACAGATCAGAAGGATTTCCGGATGAATCTCTTCTGCTACGACAAAGATTTTCAGAACTACTGAGTTCTCTATGCACTTGACACAATGTACATTTGAATACTGAACAGATTTGAATTCTGAACGCATGAGAAATGACAATCAATCTGTCTTCCCTCCACCAAATTCTGTCTTCCCTCCACCAAATTCCAGATACAGGTCTAGGGTCATTCACTGTCATTGCGCTACTAATACTTCCTACTTTCAAAGTTTACTTAAAATTCCTTTCTTTCAATCAATCAAATCAATCCTAGTCTATTTGTATTTAACTTTTTAGTAATTTGTCACTGAAGTGAACTTTTAAAAGTGCAAGCCTAGGGTGAAAAACTCCCCAGGGAACCCAGTTGACTGGCTCAGCATATAAACCTACATGTAAACTATTGCTGACCTAGGCTATTTACACAAACATTGTCATAAGCAATAGCGAAATTGATATCAACGTGCATTGATCTATGCGTGAGATTATTAAAAGTAACAGATATATATTTAGAGTTCTAGATGTAAAAACAGCAAACTGCATTGCAGCAATCACTATTACAACACCATCGCAAAAGTCTGCTTTACAGGTGCAAATATACTTTACTATTACAGTATAGCCTATAATACAATGATACAGTAGTCACTACAGAGACGCACCTGCCGCTGTACGCCGCACACTGGATGTGGACGAATCGACTGATGAACAGCAGCAGCTACACGGTAACGTTATACTGTTGTGTTCATAGGAGGAAGTTTGGTTTAAAAAAAAACATTCAATCCAGTAGCCTCTCTAGGTACGTGGGTCGCGCGTCAGACTGCCTGGCTAATCTAGTAGGCTACATGAACAAAAACAGTGTATTTGGCCACACCTTCTTTGTAATATGTAGGCAGGCTAAGGTCGGAAAAAATGGCAAGGTAAGGAAGAGGGGTGGAAATTGAATGATTTTCCTTGCAGCGACAGGAATCGAACTGGAATTTTCACTTCCTTTATATCATTGCTTAGCTGAAATCAATTCAACAGGGTGGATTTCTTTATTTAAATAAATATTTATTTATTAATGCTATACACTTGTCAATAAGGTCTGAGGAGGCTATAGGGCCATTCATAGTTGGAAAATTAAATGTTGACATTATAGCATAGAGAACATTTCAATGAATGAATCTTCAGACATAATAAGAATGACTAAAAAAGTACAGTGCACTGCTAGCAATGGAAGCCTATGGTGATTGTACAATATCCTGAGTGAAACACTTTCTCACAGCACCACAACAGTAAAATCCCCTTTGTCTAGTCTAGACATCCTCACACAAGTACAATGCATCACAAGGCATCCACTCAAGGTTGCCAAAAAATTAAAGAGAAATCTATTTTTGCATTAATCTTTCTCAATTCATCTTCCTCAAAGCTTGTGGTAAGCCACATACCTAGCTGCTCAGGTCCCTTGCAGGCTTTCCTCAAGTTTATCGAGGTGCAAACCATGTCTGTTTCTGTCCTTTGACTCCTCCCACTCACACAAACCTAAAAAATAATGGTGGAAGGGTTGGAAAATAATCTCTCTCAAGTAATTTTATAATAGTGTTGATTACTTAGTATTTTTGAAAAAGTGCTAAATAATACCTTGTTATAAACAACATCTAGTGCTAATGGCAGGGCCTCACGATCTCCATCAATCCCAAACCTTTTGCTAGCTGCACCTGTAATACAGAGGCAATCATTATTAGATATTACAGTAGAATGACATACAAAAGTATAGATTTTAGAATAAAGCACAGGCATGTTTTGTTAAATAACCTTTGAGAGTGGTGTGTGTGTTTTTGTGCATGTGCATGCATATGTGTGTTTGAGGTGGGCAAACTCACCCATGGCCTTGACGGCTCGTGTCCCTGCTGTGTGTCCTAGCTCCAAGGAATGGATAAACACCTCTCTTCTCTTCTCTCCCCCAGCCAGGGTCAGCTATGTCACAAATAATTGAAAGTACTTTGAATGGCATGCACGTGTTTGTGTGTGTGTGTGAAAAACCTCACTCATGTGGACTCAATCATTTACTGGTATAGACAGATCTGACTGTATAGAACTTCTTTGTATCCTACAATGTTTCACAGTGTATCTGAATACAGTGTTGAAATATGTATTAGTTAAAGTAGGACCGGGCTCACCTCAGCCTGGTAGAGTTGTAGCAGAACAGGTTGTGCTGCATTTCGACAGTAATACAGCACCAGGTCTGCCAGGAGGAGAAGGCGCTCAGAGGAGCTGTTCTCTGAGTTACAATCCACTTTAGAAGTCGTCTGGGAAATTACATTCATATAGAAATACAATCCCCAGTTAGGATAATTAAAGGGCACATGATGGCCTGTTTGAAAAGGAACCCAGGTGAAGTTGTAATTGTGGTACCTCGCACAGGACATCAGAGGACAGGCTGAGGAGACTGAGCACGCTTCGTTTGTACCAGGGGTCAGTCATGCCTATCAACTGGGCGATGTCAGTGGTGCTGTCCTCAAGTATAACTCCATTTGACTCCTGTATGTGACAGCAAAGATAAGATAAATTGTACAAAGTTAGGGTTAGGGTTAGGAAGTGATTATAAGCTCTCATTATCTTATCTAATGGCACATCATACTTTTTTTTGTCTTCTGTACACAACTATGAAGTCAGCTGTGCTCTTGTCCTCTTCTGGAAGAACCAAAAAGCTGGCTATTCTCACCATAGATGGTGGGCATTTCAGTGGACTCCCTAGGTGCCCCTCTGGCACTGTGGTCACTCCTCCTGGACCTCCCAGTTTCCTCCTCTTCACAGGAACAAAGTAGAACTGCAGCCTGCAGGCCCTGGTGAGGCGAGGACACCTGCTCTCCCTCTGCTGAAGGTCAGTGTAGGCCCTGGCCAGCCTCCCTGCCTCCCGGTCCTCCCCAAACACCACCACCCTGACCAGGGTGGACATCTCCACCCCTTCCCCTCCTCACAGCTCAGGATGGGCCTCTTCTGGACACACACGTGGTGACTCTGGGGAAACGGTCCATCTGAGGTGGGGGCGGGCACCCCTGAACTGCGGGGCAGGCGGACCTGTCTAGGCAAGGACTTGGATCGCTTGATCCGTGCCCCAGACGTGCCGACTCTAATGACATCACCACGGGAGCCCATGCTCTGGGCACGTCGACAGAGGGAGGAGCTGCGTTGGGACTTGAAGAGCATGGAGAAACGCTGGCTGAGGTGGGCTTTTGACTTAGGCTTCCTCCTGGTCTCTGGTTGGCCGTCATCTATCTCCAAGTCCTCGCTGAAGTCACTGTCCATCCCAGAAGACTCAGACAGGGTGGAGGGCACAGACCAGCTGGAGGACAGGGAGTAGCTGGAGAACATAGAGTCTCTGGAGCAGGTGGACACAGTGGAGATCCGGTGGTCTGTGTATCGGTTCTTTATTGTTTTCTCCTCTTCATCATCCTCCTTTCCCTTGTCTCTGGGAAGGTTAAGGACTGGGAGCTGGTCCAGCTCACTCTGAAGAATGTAATTTAAAATGTCTGAACGAATACACAGAATTACAGCCACAGACACAAAGGCTATACATATTTTACAGTATGGCATTGAAATATACTGTCTTGGATTTGGAGAAAGAAGCAATGGGAAAAAAGCTAATTACCGAAGTTGTCCTTATCCCAGGAGTACATGTGACATTTGGCTAAGGGCAGCATCAGTGTATGGGCATTTCCTAATAAGAAGAGAAAGAACAAAGACTAATCAGATCAAGTAGGATCAAGCATTGTATGTGACACTGAGTTTCTCAGAGTCATAACTCAAAATTGGACTTCCTCATCTGTCCATCTCTAATCATCTCCAGTCAGTCCTGTTTGCCCAATGTTGACCATCTTATCTGTTCCAGGAACACCTCAGATGGTGAGATTATGATGAAGCATGTAGTAAAGTTCTCTCACCAGGGCCTGTATTGCAGTCTGTAGGGGGTATTCCAATGCTCTCCACCAGCCCATTCAGGCTCTGCAGTAGACTCTCTGGCTGTGTCTGGGTCCCGTGTAGAGGCTGCTATCTCCAGGGCCTCTGTTACTGCAGTCACAAGCTGCTCCAGATCCTCTGCCCCTTTTGACTGTTAGACAGATACAGATATTGTATAATCTGCTTGCGAGCAGTATATGTACAGTTGAAGTCTGAGGTTTACATACACTTAGGTTGGAGTCATTAAAACTTGTTTTTCAACCACTCCACACATTTCTTGTTAACAAACTATAGTTTTGGCAAGTCGGTTAGGACATCTACTTTGTGCATGACACAAGTAATTTTCCCAACAATTATTGACAGACAATTATTTCACTTATAAGTCACTGTATCACAATTCCAGTGGGTCAGAAGTTTACATACACTAAGTTGACTGTGCCTTTAAACAGCTTGGAAAATTCCAGAAAATGATGTCATGGCTTTAGAAGCTTCTGATAGGCTAATTGACATCATTTGAGTCAATTGGAGGTGTACCTGTGGATGTATTTCAAGGCCTACCTTCAAACTCAGTGCCTCTTTGCTTGACATCATGGGAAAATCAAAAGAAATCAGCCAAGACCTCAGAAAAAAAATTGTAGACCTCCACAAGTCTGGTTCATCCTTGGGAGCAATTTCCAAACGCCTGAAGGTACCACGTTCATCTGCACAAACAATAGTACGCAAGTATAAACACCATGGGACCACGCAGCCGTCATACCGCTCAGGAAGGAGACACGTTCTGTCTCCTAGAGATGAACGTACTTTGGTGCGAAAAGTGCAAATCAATCCCAGAACAACAGCAAAGGACCTTGTGAAGATGCTGGAGGAAACAGGTACAAAAGTATCTATATCCACAGTAAAACGAGTCCTATATCGACATAACCTGAAAGGCCGCTCAGCAAGGAAGAAGCCACTGCTCCAAAACAGCCATAAAAAAGCCAGACTACGGTTTGCAACTGCACATGGGAACAAAGATCGTACTTTTTGGAGAAATGTCCTCTGGTCTGATGAAACAAAAATATAACTGTTTGGCCATAATGACCATCATTATGTTTGGAGGAAAAGGGGGGAGCTCGCATGCTGAACAACACCATCCCAACCGTGAAGCATGTGGGCGGCAGCATCATGCTGTGGGGGTGCTTTGCTGCAGGAGGGACTGGTGCACTTCACAAAATAGATGGCATCATGAGGAAGGAAAATTATGTGGATATATTGAAGCAACATCTCAAGACATCAGTCAGGAAGTTAAAGCTTGGTCGCAAATGGGTCTTCCAAATTGACAATGACCCACGCATACTCCGAAAGAAGTTGTGGCAAAATGGGTTAATGACAACAAGGTCAAGGTATTGGAGTGGCCATCACAAAGCCCTGACCTCAATCCTATAGAAAATGTGTGGGCAGAACTGAAAGAGTGTGTGCAAGCAAGGAGGCCTACAAACCCGACTCAGTTACACCAGCTCTGTCAGGAGGAATGGGTCAAAATTCACCCAACTTATAATGGGAAGCTTGTGGAAGAATATCCGAAACGTTTGACCCAAGTTAAACAATTTAAAGGCAATGCTACCAAATACTAATTGAGTGTATGTAAACTTCTGACCCACTGGGAATGTGATGAAAGAAATAAAAGCTGAAATAAATCATTCTCTCTACTATTATTCTGACATTTCACATTCTTAAAATAAAGTGGTGATCCTAACTGATCTAAGACAGGGAATTTTTACTAGGATTAAATGGCAGGAATTGTGAAAAACTGAGTTTAAATGTATTTCGCTAAGGTGTATGTAAACTTCCGACTTCAACTGTATGATACAGATTCTCTTCAGTAGTATTGGTGCACTATGCATAATGCATAGATGCATAAATCCAAAACAAACAACCAAAAATACGTTAACAAACCATGGAGCTAGAAAATGGTGAATAGAAAAAGGTAATTCATGACCCTTGGGTACAGATAATCATATACAAATGCCTACCTGACAGTAGGTAAAGTAACTGAACTGTGAACACATAATTTAGGAATCACATATAATAGGACATACCTGCAGTGCATTATGCAGTATGTGAAGGGGGTACTTGGTCCCCAGGGCAGCCTGGAGGGCATGTTTGATCAGGGTGACGGAGGTGTCCCTCTGGGAGTGACAGACACCACTCAGCTGCTCAGAGACAGACAGGAACTCAGGAGGGACGTCCTCGCCTGGGCTCATTAACAACACCGTCCTAATACAGTCACACATACACACACATATATTATGAACACACACACAACAAAGAGGAGAACAGTGGTTTGTGTTTAAATGTTTCAAGTTGGAGCGATGTTGAATGATTTAATCACGGTTGGTCTTTGTTGGCCTGTGTTGACTTACATCGTTTTGGAGTGATTGGTGGTGGTGGTCAAGCCCTGTTCTTCTCTCACTAGTCTTTGAAATGAGATACCTGGTGGAAATACAGTATAAGGGATGGCGTTACCTCTTGTGTTGTTTAAACCAGAATAGGAAACTGAGGGTCACCTGTGGCAGAACAAACAGGAAAAGAGCCTCCCTATTATGACTACTTGGAAGGTGACTACGGAAGCACCCCAAGGGTGAAGTTCATACCCTACATGAGATAAGGAGATATGGCAGTTAAAGATGCACTCTCAAACGTTTGTATAATTTCAGCCAGTAGTTTTGAAAGTGATGCCCACGAGCCAAAACTGGTCCCCGTTTTTTGTGTACTACGTCATCCAATTGTGTACCACATCATCCATTTTGTGTGATATGTTACGAATTGTGCAATTTGTATGATACAGTATCATACGAATTTAGCAATTTGTGTGATATGTTACAAATCCAATTTGTGCAATATGTTACACATTTGTAGTGCTTAAGATCCCGGAAGTGCATCTTTAAGGCAGGAATGTGATGACATGGAATAATAAAATGACGTTGTCCTACTCACTGAAACCTTTCCTGTGCACACTTACCATATTTACAGTTCTGTTGTGTGAACTTGATGGTAGCTTTTCACGTATACTACATTACCAAAAGTATGTGGACACCTGCTCGTTGAACACCAAAATCATGGGCATTAATATGGAGTTGGTGCCCTCTTTGCTGATATAACAGCCTCTACTCTTCTGGGAAGGCTTTCCTCTAGATGTTGGAACATTGCTGCGGGGACTTGCTTCCATTCAGCCACAAGAGCATTAGTAAGGTCAGGCACTGATGTTGGGCGATTAGGCCTGGCTCACAGTCGGCGTTCCAATTAAACTCAAAGGTGTTTTATGGGGTTGAGGTCAGGGCTCTGTGCAGGCCAGTCAAGTTCTTCCACACCGATCTCGACAAACCATTTCTGTATGGACCTCGCTTTGTGCACGGGGGCATTGTCATGCTGAAACAGGAAAGGACCTTCCCCAAACTGTTGCCACAAAGTTGGAAGCACAGAATCGTCTAGAATGTCATTGTATGCTGTAGCGGTAAGATTTCCCTTCACTGGAACTAAGGAGCATAGCCCAAACCATGAAAAACAGCCCCAGACCAATATTCCTCCTCCACCAAACTTTACAGTTGGCACTATGCATTGGGGCAGGTAGCGTTCTCCTGACATCCAAACCCAGATTTGTCCGATGGACTTCCAGATGGTGAAGCGTCATTCATCACTCCAGAGTCCAATGGCGGCGAGCTTTACACCACTCCAGCTGACGCTTGGCATTGCGCATGGTGATCTTAGGCTTGTGTGCGGCTGCTCGGCCATGGAAACCCATTTCATGAAGCTCCCAACGAACAGTTATTGTGCTGATGTTGCTTCCAGAGGCAGTTTGGAACTCAGTAGTGAGTGTTGCAAACGAGGACAGACGATTTTTACGCGCTACGCGCTTCAGCACTCGATGGTTCCGTTCTGTGAGCTTGTGTGGCCTACCACTTCACGACTGAGTCGTTGTTGCTCTTAGACGTTTCCACTTCACAATAACAGCACTTACAGCTGACCGGGGCAGCTCAAGCAGGGCAGAAATTTGACAAACTGACTTGTTGGAAAGGTGACATCTTATGACGGTGCCACGTTGAAAGTCACTGAGCTCTTCTGTAAGGCCATTCTCCTGCCAATGTTTGTCTATGGAGATTGCATGGCTGTGTGCTCGATTTTATACACCTGTCAGCAGTGGGTGTGGCTGAAATAGCCAAATCCACTCATTTGAAGGGGTGTCCACATACTTTTGTATATATAGTATATGACTTGTGAATCAATGAAG